CTCTTGTCTGTCTTTTCTAAGCCTTTCAGCCGCCCCACTCAGGTTCACCCTTGGCCGTGCTGGCGTGGCACACTCAAATTTCTCTATATTGGTAAAACCTCCTACTTATCTCATGATCCATGGGACCGCCAAAGTTATTTTGGTATAATAGAATTTAAGGTGCATAAGTTGCTACAAATCTAATTTACAGTCTGCAGGAATGAGCACATAAGGCACTTTGAATATATTTGGGCAGTGCTTTTCAACAGTGACCCACAGCCATAATCAATCTTGCAGAGAAATACAGCTCACATATATGAGTTTACATGTAATTATGTAGCTACACCCAGAAATGAAACAAAACTTTGCCGAATTTAATTCATGCACAGTGCACTGTGGTATTTTCTATTCAATTTTCTTTCATACTTCCTCCTCCCCTCCCTCTTTCTTATGCTAGTCATGATCCATCAAGTCAATTGCACCAATTTACTAATGGGTCATGACCCACTGTTCCAAACACACTGCATTAGGGGTAAGATTTCTAATTATCTCTATCCCTTCCTTTTTCCAAGTTTCTGATGCGTGTATTTGGGCGGGGAGGCTTCCTTCCTTTCCTCCTTCCTATTCCTTTGCTTTCTGCCAGATAGCAGAACAAAAAATATATTAAGAGCTTAAAACTCCACCTCTAGCTCAGTTGTCCTGTACTCCTCCCCTGGCAAACAGACCTGTAAGATGCACCTTCCGTGAGTGAGTTACCCTGCTCCTGGTGTTGTAGGCAAGCTCTCTTGTTTACCAGTAGAGAGTAATCATTACAACTAGTTTTATAAAAGGCCCATAGGGTTACCTCTGCTCTGGCTTAGGAGTAACATCCTATATAATAATAGAGAATATGCTAATTATCCATTCTGCTGTAACATCACGACCAATCTACAAGTGGTGGAGAGCTACAGGAGGGCGTGCCACGAGCTAGGAGCGGGGAGAGGTACAGGAGGGCAGGGCAGCGAGCTACAAGCAGCGGAGAGCTACCAGCGGCGGTGGGCGGGTAGCCAGCTCAGGCAAGCAGCAGCGAGCTCCTCACGCATGGTTTCGTGTGCAGGGCTACTAGTTATTTAATAATATCATAACCCTGGCCAGTGTTTCCCACTGGGTTAGAGCATCAGCCCATGCACTGAAGGGTCGCAGGTTCAATTCCTGGTCAAGGACACGTACCTGGGTTGCAGGTGGGGTGCTGCAGGAGGCAAGCAATCATTGTGTCTCTCTCACATCTCTCCCTCCCTCCCTCCCTCCTTCCCTCCTCCTTTCCTTTCCTCCCTCCCTTCCTTCCACTCTCTCTGAAAATCAATAGAAAAAATGTCCTTGGGTAAGGATTAATGACAACAACAAAATAATAATCATATTGTAATAATAAATATTAAGTACTTATGTACATTAAGTCCTCACAACCCCACGAGACCGGTACATTATTTATCCCTGAGTTATGCACAGGAAGCTGAGACATGAAAAGTCATGTAATGTAACCAAGGTCACATAGAGGGCAGACAGCATGACAGTTGAGCTGAACACTTACCCACTCCTTTCACCTCTACAGTCAAGTTATTCATGACGCTAGTGGCCTGTCCGAACTGCTCCTCTGTCTTAAGCATGTATTTGAGAGTGGTAGAACCCCTTGCTCTGCTTTAAACTTCCTTGTATGTGGTTAACTGACATTCATTGAGCTTCTCTGTGTCCCAGGCACTGTGCTTGGCACTGGGGGTAGACTCAGGAATGGCCTGCTCCCATCAGGTAACCATCCTGCTATTGGATGAGGATGGAGACCCCAGGAGGGAGTAGGGCAGGGGCAGGCTCCCCAACCCAGCATGTCCTGCTCCTGTGCTCTTGGGGAGGGGTGGGGGTGAGGTACAGGAGGGGCCAGTGCCTCTGACCCTTCATCAGCTTAGACAGATGAACCCTGAGAAAGTATTGGGCAGCTCTGTGGGATAATTAAAACACAAGAATTCCTATATCGTCAGGTTCCTAGGAGAGTAAAATAGCTTTTCTTTGGCATGGTTATCAACAGAGATATCAGAGAAAAATTAACCTCTCTATAATATGAGTCATTATTTTGTTATCTAAGAGGGTCAAGGAAGTAGTTGATTGATTTAAATGAAAATAGCATGGAAGTTTAGAAGGATCAAGGTTTTATGATAATGTGACCTCGCGGCCTGTTTTCACCCTGGGCCTACCTCTTCTCACACCATGTTGCTCACCTGCCCCTGTAACCCCAGCCTCTTGAAATTGTTCCTTGCCCTGCAAGAGGAAAAACCTCACATGCTGTTTGATACGGCATGAGTTATCGGAAGGTTTAGAAATGACACTGAATCTGCCTGGATGAGGAAAACGGAGAGCGGGCCCTGGAGAGGACCAACGCCCACTCCGGAGCACGTTCGAAACGCAGACCCAGGGATCAGGATCTGCATTCTAGCAAGACTCCAGGGACTGCATTTCAGAAGCCCTGGCCGGGCCGGCTGAGCCAGCCACGTTTTCCTTCGGATGCACCTTGATCCCGTCCATCCCGCAGTTGCCTCGGGCACAGGCATGTCTGTGGACGTGAACCGTTTATAAAGCTTCAACCCTCCTGCTGTCCTGACAGCCACCAGTGCTTGCCAATGAGCTTTTTTGCTTGATTACACTCTGGAAAATATATTCCTATACATTTTGGAGTCAAATTCAACATTTGCCAAAAACAGCTTTATAAAGTTAGGACTGAAATACAATGAGTGGCACATAAAGTGTACCATTTGGTAAGTTTTGACATGTGTATGTCAGTAAAGCCGTCACCACAATCAAGATAAACATATCCATCATCAGCTACCATTACATTTTTTGCCCTTTTGCATCCTCCCTGCACACCACATAACTTCTAATCTGCTTTTTGTCGCTTTTGATAAGTTTGTATTTTCCAGAAATTTATGTGAATGGAATCCTATAGTATGGTCTCTCTTGTTTGTCTGGCTTCTTTCAGCATAATTACTTCGATTTATCATGATGTAGCAGTTTTATTGTGAGTAGTATTCCTTTGTACAAATATAACAGTTTGTCTATATACATGCTAATAAAAATTTGGGTTGTTTCCAGTTTGGGGCTATTTACAAATAGGGCTGCCATGAACATTTTTGCATAGAAGTATTTATATGATCTTGTGCTTCCATTTTGCTTGGTAAGTAAATTCCTAGGAATGGAATACCTGGTTCATATGGTCCATGTATGTTTAACTTTCTGGGAAGTACCAAGTATTTCCCGAAGTGGTTCTGTCCCCGCCAGCAGTGTCTGAGGGTTCCGGTTCCTTCACCTCATCTCCAGGACTCTTTATCGTCTTTTTTATTACCCACTCTGGTGGGTGTGACGTGGCATTTCATTGTGGGTTTTTTGTTTGTTTGTTTGTGTTTTTTGGTATAGCAAAGGTGGAAATTTATTGAAGAACAAGTACAGAGTCCCACGTGGGGAAGGGGAAAGAATCTCGGAGCGGGAAAGAGGCGCCTCATTGTGGCTTTAATCTGCATTTTATTAATAAGCATCCTTTATGTGCGTATATGCCATTTATATATTTACTTTGAAGTAGCTGTTGAAATAACTGATTGAGTTGTCTATCACTGTATTTGAGAGTACTGTAAGTAACCTGGGCTCAAGTCCTTTATCAGATAAACGATTTGCCAGTATTTTCTTCCATTCTAGGCTGTTTTTCATTCTTTTAATGGTGTCCTTCAAAGAGCAGAAATTTTTTATTTTGATGAAGTTCAATATATCAATTTGTTCTCTTACGGTATGGATTGTGCTTGTATTCTAGGAGATTTTTGCCTAAACCAAGGTCACAAAGGATTTCTCGTATGTTTTCGTCTGGAAGTATTAGGATTTTAAGTTAGGATTTGTATTTAGGTCCACAATCCATCTTGAGTTCATTTTTGTGTATGGTACATGGTAGACTGAGCCAGCACCACCACTGACTTGCCTCTGAACCGTTCTCAAAAACCGCCTGTCCACATGTATGTAAATAAGCCTCTTGAAATGTTCAGGGCCTGGCAGTGGGGAAACTACTGATGAAAGCACTGAGAACCCTGGGTTCCCAATGGTCAGGGTGATGTCTGTCCCGTGGTGGGGTGTGGAGTCCAGCTTTGAGGTTCTTAAAGAGTATCTTGAGCTTCCTTGGGTGTCTGGCAACAAGGGGCCTTCAGTGTGTACCATCCTTGGGGAGTGGAGGAACCCGTCCCTCAGATCTTCGTTGGTAAGTCTTAATTCTCTCACAGACCTCTGTTGAGCAAAGTGGATCATTCATAGCAAGTACCCTTCTTAGATGCATAAGATACATGTTAATTCATTACAGACTGTGGGTGACTTAGGACAGTGGGGCTTCCTTTCCTCCTGGAGTTCGGGTTGAGAAGGGCTGCTGGACCAACAGGGAGACCAAAACTTAGAACCTGGGAGGCCCCATCATTTCATGGACTCTCAGTAGCACGGGCTCTGGAACATCTGGGCTAGCCCTTTTCCAGTCGAGGTAAGATGTGATGCCAGGCGGTGGTGGAGTGGGCAGCTCACTGCCACTGTCTACACCCTGTTCTTCTGTGCCCACCACCGGGCATCTCAGCTGTCCACATGGAAATGCCTGTTCGCCTTGAGGCTGCGGTCAGTGAGGTCACCTGCCCGGGAGCTCCTCCTTCCCATGGTCTCCCTCCCACCCCCATCAGGGTTCTTGCCCGGTCTTGCCAGCCATGGTGCTGTGTCTCCTGTCAGGCCCTAGGTAGGAAGCCCAGCGCTGGTGTCCCGCAGCAATTCGCAGCCTTCTGGGTCCAGTCACAGTCTCTCTCGGGAAGTAGGGGGCATGAACAGGTTTACACTGAGACGCGTGTTTGTATTCGTGGTGCGTTCTGGACAGAGTGAGTCCAGGGCAAGGTAACCGGCTCCTCATGTGCTCCCTGTGTGTGTGTGGCACAGACCTGTGTCGAGTGTAGTAAGTCGGAACATCCCCTAACACACCTTTTGTTTTCCAGGCGCTCCTAGCAGGCATGAGGAACCGGGAGAACAGCTCACCCTGTCAGGGCAACGGGGAGCAGGCCGGCAGGGGCAAGCACTTGGTCTCTGCGTGGCCGGGTGAGGAGGAGCCCTGCCATGACACGACCACTCTCTCCTACAAGAAGCCTCTGTACGGCATCTCGCACAAGATCATGGAGAAGAAGAACCCCCCCGCGGGCGACATGCTCAGCACGTATGAGCTCTTAGAGAAGGGAAACCCCAGCAACAGCCCCTCACCGCTGCGGCTGCTGAACGAGACACAGAAGCGGGACAGTGGCAGTGCGGCCTCGGCCACCACCGACAGCGACCCCAACATCTACTTCCTGCTCCAGAAGATGTTCTACATGCTCAACACGCTCTCCTCCAGCATGTCCCAGCTGCACAGCAAGGTGGACCTGCTGTCCCTGGAGGTGAGCCGCATCAAGAAGCAGGTGAGCCCCACGGAGATGGTGGCCAAGTTCCAGCCGCCCCCCGAGTACCAGCTGACGGCCGCGGAGCTCAAGCAGATCGTGGACCAGAGCCTGTCGGGCGGGGACCTGGCCTGCCGCCTGCTGGTGCAGCTCTTCCCCGAGCTCTTCAGCGACGTGGACTTCTCTCGCGGCTGCAGCGCCTGCGGCTTCGCAGCCAAGCGGAAGCTGGAGTCGCTGCACCTGCAGCTCATCCGCAACTACGTGGAGGTCTACTACCCCTCCGTGAAGGACACGGCCGTGTGGCAGGCGGAGTGCCTGCCTCAGCTCAACGACTTCTTCAGCCGCTTCTGGGCCCAGAGGGAAATGGAGGACAGCCAGCCGGTGGGCCAGGTCGCCGGCTTCTTTGAGGCCGAGCAGGTGGACCCCGGCCACTTCCTGGACAACAAAGACCAGGAGGAGGCGCTGTCCTTGGATCGGAGCAGCACCATCGCCTCGGACCACGTGGTGGACACGCAGGACCTCACCGAGTTCCTGGACGAAGCCTCCTCACCCGGAGAGTTCGCGGTCTTCCTGCTGCACCGGCTTTTCCCCGAGCTCTTTGACCACCGGAAGCTGGGTGAGCAGTACAGCTGCTACGGGGATGGTGGCAAGCAGGAACTGGACCCGCAGAGGCTGCAGATCATCCGCAACTACACGGAGATCTACTTCCCCGACATGCAGGAGGAGGAGGCCTGGCTGCAGCAGTGCGCCCAGCGCATCAACGACGAGCTGGAGGGGCTGGGGCTGGACGGGGGCAGCGAGGGCGAGCCCCCGCGGGACGACTGCTACGACTCCTCCAGCCTGCCCGACGACATCTCCGTGATCAAGGTGGAGGACAGCTTCGAGGGCGAGCGGCCCGGCCGGCGGTCCAAGAAGATCTGGCTGGTGCCCATTGACTTCGACAAGCTGGAGGTCCCGCAGCCCGACTTCGAGGTGCCTGGCGGCGACTGCCTGCTCAGCAAGGAGCAGCTGCGCAGCATCTACGAGAGCAGCCTGTCCATCGGCAACTTCGCCTCGCGCCTGCTGGTGCACCTCTTCCCCGAGCTCTTCACCCACGAGAACCTGCGCAAACAGTACAACTGCAGCGGCTCCCTGGGCAAGAAGCAGCTGGACCCGTCCCGCATCAAGCTCATTCGCCACTACGTGCAGCTGCTCTATCCCCGGGCCAAGAACGACCGCGTCTGGACGCTGGAGTTCGTGGGCAAACTGGACGAGCGCTGCCGCCGCCGGGACACGGAGCAGAGGCGCTCCTACCAGCAGCAGCGCAAGGTCCATGTGCCAGGCCCCGAGTGCAGGGACCTGGCCAGCTATGCAGTCAACTCCGAGAGGTTCCGAGAGGAATTTGAGGGGCCCCCGCTGCCCCCCGAAAGAAGTAGCAAAGACTTCTGCAAGATCCCGCTGGACGAGCTGGTGGTCCCCTCGCCCGACTTCCCCGTGCCTTCGCCATACCTGCTGTCCGACAAGGAGGTGCGCGAGATCGTGCAGCAGAGCCTCTCGGTGGGCAACTTCGCCGCGCGGCTCCTCGTCAGGCTCTTCCCCGAACTCTTCACGGCCGAGAACCTCCGGCTGCAGTACAACCACTCGGGGGCCTGCAACAAGAAGCAGCTGGACCCCACGCGGCTCAGACTCATCCGCCACTACGTGGAGGCGGTGTACCCCGTGGAGAAGATGGAGGAGGTGTGGCATTACGAATGTATCCCCAGCATCGACGAGCGATGCCGCCGCCCCAACAGGAAAAAATGTGACATCCTGAAGAAAGCCAAGAAGGTGGAGAAGTGACGGTACGCTGGGGCCTGAGCCTTCCTTCGGAGCACGTGTATGGTATCCACAGACACGCACCTTATGGCAGTGGGAAGTGGCTTACTACTTTTGCACACACACACCCACCCAACCACAAGAACGAAGCCTTACATTTGGTCTCTTACTTCCGACCTGTGTCCCGAGTTCCCCAGGGGTGCAGCCAGTTAGGGGATGGCTGAGCTGTGAGAGCCGTGGCCTCAGGAGCAGGCTTCTCTCTCCTGGCTGCCCTCCCCTTCTCAATTTGAAACGCAAATTCAGCAACTCTTATTCCTCTTCCCACATTTTACATCTTCCATTTTTATCAATTGTTTTTTTAATTAAAAGGAAACCCTTTTTTAAGAGATCATTTGGGCTCTCTGGGGGCCAATTTGCTTAGGGGGAAAAAGAAGTCTTTTAAATGTTCATGGTGAAATACTGTTAGATGACTTCAGTCGCTGGGATTTCTTTTGAAGGTGGTTTCAGATTTATGAAATTTTTAGCGTAGCCATGTTTCTGCATGGTGGCTAATAATAGCTTCGGGGGCATAGAGGCCGAGCTGACTGACCTTGTCTTTGTCTCTGAATTTGAAGGGTCAGGATGCCCCTTGGATGGCAGTGGAGGGAACGGGGTGGCGTGACACCTTTCCTGACCACGTTCACTCCCTCCCTCCGCTGCAGTGCCGAGGAAGGGGCTTCCTCGTGGCCCGGCCTGCTCGCCGTTGCTGGGTGGGAAGGATGCTGTGCTCACTCTCTGTAGACAAGAACACTGGATGATGATGATGAGATGAATGTAGATAGACGTGGGAACACGTTCACAGTGTCATTTGAGCTGTGTCCTTCCACTGCCCCCTTCCCTCTCCATACGAGGAGGCTGGTTGGAGGGGCCGACACATGTCCTTGGAGAACAGTGTGTGAATTAATTGGCATCTTGTTTGATGTAAGGACGGTTCCCTTTGGGCTCACCACGAACTGTTTACTTTCTGTGTGTGTATTTGTACAAAACCTGGGTTCTGGGAGCCGTATGGCGACTTCACCACAGCTCCGTGTTAGCTCCTCCGATCAGTATGCATCCTGTTCCTCAGGGCAGGCCCAAACTCTCAGGTCCTCTTGAGGATGCCTGGTATTGGAAGGACACAGGTCATCTCAAATGGGGCTCCCATGTCCCTTCCCAGGGTCCACTCAGAGCTCCCCCCTCAGACTCCTTAGAAGACCCTGCTGTCCTACATCTTGGCCCCTTGCCTAGGATTGTGACATTTCTTCTCTTCCCACTGGTTGGGAAGGTCAGACTATTTCAGGCCAGTGGCATGTTCTCCAGGAGTTCTGACCAGGAAATTCCCCAGTAGTTAGAAGTTCTTGAAAACAATACTTTTATGGACCTGACTTGGGGGCCAAATGCCTAAGAGGAAAAGGAAATGGTCTAGAACTCAAACAGAATGCATCATACCAGAAACCTGGAAACATGAATGAATCACACAGGGTAGTCATAAAACCCTGTGGCTTAGATATTGGCTACCTTAAAATGCAGGAGCAACAGAAACAATCTGTGAACTGTCTTTATACAGCTGACAAGGACTTCGGTTCCGGTGGCTGTAGGATGGCATTTTGCCTGCACCCCGCAGGTTTGTTTGTTTTAATATATATGACAGGATTTTGAACAATGTTTACGTGTTGACCTAGCTTTATTAAATTTGCTTTTAAATGTCATTTACAGATTATTTCTGTCGAAACTGCAGTCTTAAATTATTGAAATTTAGAAATGCACAGGAATTTAATGACTCTCCCACCCACACGTGCACGCACACATTTCTTATTAAAAAATGAGTGATGGGGACCTACATAAACAACTTCAACTTCTTTGTGCCTGGAAAGAAGAAGGGAGTGGAGCAGCCAGGAGGTTCACCCCACGCCCCCTCACCTGCGCCTTTCTCTATGCCTTAGTCTCCCAAACACACAAATGCACGCACGCAAATGCACACATGCATGCATATACTCACATGCACACACACGCCCTACCCTCTACCCAAAGATGGCAGTGGCACTGGCCCGCCAGCCCTGCTGGTTGGAGAGTGCCGAGGAATTCATTCTGGTCTCTAGGATGTATCCGAGAGGATTCCAAGCCATGTGAAAATTGTCCTGCTTTCTAGAAGGTGGAATGTGACCCTGCAACTTCAGAAGCACAATCATTTTTTAAAACCCTATGTACCCACGTTAAAGAAATCAACAGGTTCTAGGTTCTAAGGATGAGCTATGTCTCCGTAACCTAGATCATGTTTTTGGAAACTGTATTTGGGTGGTTTCCTTTTATACCTTTCCTGTGTAGGGCTTCTTCCCCGCCCCCCCTCCCCATCTTAGTGTCCCTTTCAGTGAAGAGAGGTGGCCACACTCTGGGAGCTGTTTGCTGTCCCTCTGGACTGTCGGCCGGAAGCGAATGCAGGCCCTGTGGCCTGTGTGGTGCCCTCAGTTCCCCAGCCATGCAGGTGGGCTCAGGGGCAGTTTTTACATGAAGCAATATAAGTACAAACTACTTATTTTTTTTCGAAATGTAATGTTTTCCATAAAATCTGTTGGCACATCCCTTCCCCCTATCTAAATTTTTTGGTTTCCACTTGTTTTTCGGGGTGTTCTTTTGCCTTGTATCCGGAGAAGTAAAGAGTTAGCACAGACACATTCTGATGTTAAGTGAAATAGCAAGTCACGGTAGGTGGTAGCGTCCCTCATGTTCTGTGTTAGGAACTTTTAAAAGAATGTATGAAGGTAGTCCTGAATGTACTAAGTGTTCTAATCCTGCTTCAGTTCACTTTGGCTGTGTCTACATGACAGCAACCATTTGACAGGGAATAGAGTCGTGTCTTGTGTCGAGGGTGTTAGTGTGCCCCTCCCCATTCCGTGTCAGCCCTGAACCTTCCTTTCTGTAAGTTGAGGGGGAGGGGCATCATGTCAGCTGCAATCATCAACCCACCAATGGGATCTACTGAGTGATGAATGGATTAGCTGTTTAAATGGTAAGAGTCACTGGCCTGACCAGACCACAGCATGGCACCGGGTTCCTGTAGAAATGGCCTCAGTTTCCTCCTTTCCCCAAAACGTTTGCCTCTTGCCTAATGGGGGAGGGGGGTTTTCAAGACCCCTGATTGGAGCCCATTGCGCTCTCTCCCTGCCTGTGTAGCTAGGTGATATGAAGTGGGGCTGGAGGCCAAGGGCTGTTACTGCCATTTGGAAATACTTGCCTCGCGTAGATCCAGCCTTAATGTTTTTCTGACATCCTAGTGATAGCAGACCCTGCACAAAGTGGATATCAGAGTTAATACTGTGAGGAGACAAAATAATGAGCATAGTTTTACCAAAGATAATGAACTATCACATAATGTCTGCATCTTACCATTGATTTGAGTGCATCCTTAGAAAACTGAATGTAACAAAAACCCAGGACCTTTTTGGAAATTGTATGCTTTCTAGCAACTTTGTGTGAATTTTTATACAAGCACTGTTTTATGAGTTATATAAAATGTTTAAAAATAGAAAAAATATGGTCTCGCAACATCTTATTTCCTTAGGGAAGACGTTTCTTGGTCTGTTTGTCTTTCTCTGCGGCCTCCTCACTGCTGGGGGGGGCGGGCATGAATGCTTGGGGCACCCCAGCCTCTGGGGCTTCCACACTTAGGGTGTCGGGGCGGTAGCTCACAGGATTTCAGTTGTCACAGCTGAATGACTGAGAAGTCAACTAATAAATCCTAGCCTGTTTCTACACAGACTGCTTCCTGGACACATGGTGGAGGTACATTCACTTTATCTTTCCTGGGTGCCCAGCGCTCCCCGCCTGAGGCCCCGCCAGCAGAGCTGCTTTTCCCTTTGGATTAAATGGGATTTAGTTCCTCAGAGCTAAGGTGTTATTAACTGATAACAAAAGGATGCCTGTATTTTCTCACCCTTCGGCTAATTACAAATCATCAATGTTAATATTTCATAGTAAAAGTAATGTCTCCAGCTGTCAGAGGAACTTTTTCTGGCCCAAGGGCCACAATAGGTGAAGTGAGCTGTGGCTTGTGACGGGGACACTTCTCCCCGGTGAGTGAGTGCTGCTGGGAGCCTGACACCTGTCCACTGAGCTGCGTGCAGGTTGGGACTGGTCAAGGGCTGGAGCCCCAGAGGCGAAATACATGAGCAAGTTTAAGCAGGACTAGACGGAGAGCTAAATTCTGAAGCCCCTTCTGGCTGTAAGGATCTTTGTTTTCTACCAAAGAGAAAATTCAGAGCATTTCCATATGTGTGAGCTTCCTTAGGGAATCTCAGAGAGAAGGGCGCCGCACCACCTTGGTTTCCACCGTCACTGGGATGGAGATGCAGTGGACTCTAAGGGAGCTTCCAGGTAAATCTGGAACCCCCTGGCCTGTGGTGGGAAGGGAGTGAGCATGTGTCAAGCCTGCTCCTTATAATGGCACCTAACATTCGTGTAGTGTATACCATGTGAGAGCTGTGCCTGCATCCTCTCAAGAGCCCCGTGAATAGATCCCGTAATTATGCCTGTTAAGACAAGAAAGCTAAGGCCCCGAGTGATGTCTATGCCATCTCATTTAATTCTCATAAAAACTCAGTGTTTGGGGCACTCTGCTTTGTGGTAAGGAGGAAGAAAAGAAGTAGCTTTATTGTCCAAGTTGACACAACTTGCAAATGGTGGTGCCAGGATTTGAATCCAAGCTTGTCTCACCATATCACACCGTCTCGGGAGCTAAAACACTACATTCCCCGAGTCACAATACACAAACATTCAGATCCAAAAACAATTGCAAGTCCGTGTTCTGTCACCGCTTCCTCTAAGCCTCTAGGGCAGTGGTTCTCAACCTGGGCTGCACATTAGAATCACCTGGGAATCTTGTTGAACTCCTGATTTCTGGGCCTCATCCTCTGGAAATTCTGTTTCTTTGTTACTAATGTTGTGGCCCCACCCCATAACAAAGAAACAGAATTTCCGGAGGATGAGGCCCAGAAATCAGGATTTTAAAAAGATTCCCAGGTGATTCTGATGTGCCGCCAAGGTTGAGAACCACTGCTCTAGGGGGCTTAGGCATAGGTGCGCTGGTTTGAGAATTGCCTTGAGTGAAATAACTGGGAGTTGTGGACAGACATGTTCTGGTGGTAGTGCATTTTTTGAGATTGTGAAATTAACTGCTGTGGATTGCATTCCCTAAGAGCAGAATCTGAGACGGGGGTTCTTGTGCAATTGATTGAGGGTGTGCTATCAGGAGGAGCATGGGAAAAGCAGATGCTTCCAGGGAAAAGCCACGGGCAAGCATGTGGTTTCCACTGCAGTCTAGTTCCCTCCTCATCCACTGAGAAACCCTAGGACAGAGGTCCTCAAACTTTTTAAACGGGGCCAGTTCACTGTCCCTCAGACCGTTGGAGGACCGGACTATAGTTTAAAAAAAAAAATTATGAACAAATTCCTATGCACACTGCACATATCTTATTTTGAAGTAAAAAAACTGGAACAAATACAATATTTGTATTTGCATGTGGCCTGCAGGCCGTAGTTTGAGGACCCCTGCCCTAGGCTATGAATTGTTGGCAGAACTAGTCCCGGTTGAAGCCATGGGGCGGGCTGGTTAATGATGGGTCTGAGGTCTTGCCCATGGGAAGACCCTTGCCCTGTAGCTGCCCTTGCAGCTACAGGATGGAGGCAGTGGCAAAGGGGGTCTGGGTGGGACTCCATCAGCACCCACAAGGGCAGAACCGCCAGAGGACATGTTAGGCCAGGTTGCTGGGGGCCCCGCCCCTCAGAGGTCCTGATTCCGTAGGTTTGGGAGACGCCGGTGCTGGGGGCTGCACTCTGAGACTTACTGCACTACAGTAACTTCACAAAATTCGCCGTGATTATCTGTGTATATACAGGAACTGAAGGCTTAGCACTTTCCTGACCATTAGAAAGAGATCTGAGCTGAAACAAGTGGTTTCCTGTTGTGTTCAAATAAAACTGACTACTCCTCCACTAGTGGTAAACTAAATCTTAGCTTCTAGGTCAGTAGGAAGAGGCGGTTTGCCTTGCTTCCACATCAGGGCTTAGGGGCGCTGGCGAATGTGATGCCTTTTGCCAGAACATTTCTGCGTGGTGGAGCATGTCCGTTGATTTTATTTGAAGGAGTGAGAATTCATTTGTTCTTCTAAATAGAGTTTATAGTCCTGCTGGTCCCGATGGGGAGCTGCGTCCTTCACAGGGATTGAGAGCATATAATGCCACAGCCCCTCCTTCCACAGGCTCCCCCCGTGTGACAGCTGTGTGTTCAGTAGGGCTGGCAGGTCCCTGTTACAGGGAGTTCTGTTTTTTGTAAGCACTCCTGTTTCTGAGCTCCTGTAACGGGTCAGGAATGCGCTAGGGACCTCACAAGCATTATTTCATTTAATCCTCACGGAAACCCTGTGGGCAAGATGTTTTTATCCCCCATTTTACAAAAGGGGGTGCTTCCAGAGGTTAAGTAACTTGGTCAAGGTCATACAGGCGGCGGAGATGGCGAGGCTGACTCCAAAGTGTGTGCTCTTGATTTCTGTGCTGCCATTTGCAAAGCTGTGTGGAGTAAATGTCTCCGTCTCTCTACCTAGTAGTCCCCGACGTCTAACTTTTGCTAACTGTCTACAGTCTCTGAGCTTTCTGGATCCATCCAAGTAGAGAGAATTTAACTCATGAAAACTTTTAATGCCACAGGAAACACAACAAGGAATGCAGGAGGAATCTTCTCTGCCTCAAAGGAAGTTCCTTCGGCAAAAGCATTTGAAACACCTGCTACCTTCTGGGCACTGTTCCATGATTCTAACAAGTCCCAGCCTCCCTCGTTGGTAGTGAAGCCTGTTTAGCTTGGAGAGAAGGTTCTGGTGGTAAACAGCACAAAACCTGGCGTCTCCGGCCTGGAACTGGTTTTCCAAATGCACGTGGGCATTGGCAGCCCGAGGCCTTGGCTCCTGCCTTCAGTGCAGACAGCTGAGCCCGCCCAGGTGGAGCAGGCGAGGCTCTGGTCGGGGGTGCTCCTGTGGGTCTCCGGTTCCCTGACTCTCCTGGTGCTCACAGGCCGGAACACAGTGCTGCGGAACGCAATGCCCTGATCTTCCTGGGGCTCCGTTTCTGACACGAGGTATTAAAGCCAAGTCTCCTTGGATCGGATGAGCTGAAATCTCCGCACAGGCCCAGTTCCAGGCACGGTGAGGCATATACTCCAGCACCTGTTAGGCCCAAGGGGTGGGTGCCTTCTCTTCAGGTTATTAACAGCAATGGTGTTGCTGAGATCCAGAGCTGGCTCCTATCATGTCAGCCTCACCTTTGTCTCAGAATCAAGAGTTAAGGGATTTCCCCCACCACCCTAAAGAAAATTCTCGCATATTCTGTGGGGAAATGTCTAATAGTATCTAACCCAGGGCTCCTCAAACTATGGCCCGCAGGCCACATGCAAATACAAATATTGTATTTGTTCCCGTTTTGTTTTTTTACTTCAAAATAAGATCTGTGCAGTGTGCATAGGAATTTGTTCATAGTTTTTTTTTAAACTATAGTCCGGCCCTCCAACGGTCTGAGGGACAGTGAACTGGCCCCCTGTTTAAAAAGTTTGAGGACCCCTGATCTAACCCCTCTGAGTGGGGCTCCAGAAAACGGATATAACCAGTCCAGACCTCTAAATAGTAATTCCCCACTTTATTTTTTTTAAAAATATATTATTTTTATTAATTTGAGAGGAAGGGAGAGGGAGAGGGAGAGAGAGGTAGAGACATCAATGATGAGACAGAATGGTAGGCTTCCACCATCCTCCTTTTAATATACCTGGTCTGTTAACCAGTAACAATGAACAAAAAATACAAAAGAGCCAGCAAGCATGGCTTTGAGAGCAGCAGGAGAGGCGGTCTCAGAGCCCTCTGTGAAAGCCCAAGCTATAGATGGGCAGGCTGTGGGAGCTTGTGTTGGTGGTGGGAAAAGGGCACCTGGCGTTAGCCATGCGTTAGGCTGGCCGGTTCACAAACCTCTATCCTTGTTTGGCTTGAAAGAATTCAGAGCCAAGGAACTTAAAGGAAAATTTAGAAAGTGACAGTAGTAAAAGGGCCCTTGGAGCTTAGAAGAAAGAGCATGAGAGATATGCATCTTGAGAAAGGGAGGAGAAAGGGAGGAGAGGTGCAAGGGCACACTCCAGGAAAGAGAGCATGCCCTGGGGAAAGGGGGGGTGGGGAAGGGGGTTGGATGCTCCTTAGAGCTTTAATCTGAAGATCTCAGGGGAAGATCTCAATAGAGCATGTTTCCCCCGGTCTCCTTCGGGCCTCCACTGAGTGCTTGGTGCCAGGGGGTCATTATTCAATGCAGCAGTTCCTGATATGGTGCTGCTTCTCTGGGCCTGGAGCTGAAACAACTGAAGCCTAGATGTCACCTTCCAGGAGTTAATGCTTCAGGGAGTGGTCAGGCAAGGGCTTGAAGTTTTGTGCGTTGCTAGGCACCTGGGGCTCTCCGCCCTGGTGACCCTCTGCACCTGGCCCACGGTTCTGCTCTGCTCATG